GACGCTATGTTCAATCTGAGTTGATTATCTCAATGGTGAAAGCTTAATTTCAATAAAAATGTGTTATTTAACATTTACTTACATGCAGCGTTTGATGAGATTTTCTCCTATTGTTTGTTTTTTTTTTTTTTTTTTTTTTGCTTTGCATTTTCTATTGCGACTTCATTTGATGCTTGCACTAATGCTGGTGAAAACTTCCTGTTCGATCAAGTCTCTGACGTTTGCAACTAGCTTCTTACCGACGAAAGAACACCATATATTTTTTGGTGTGTTCCGAATGACTCGTCTCAAATGACGATTTAGTTTTGAAGATTTCATAGATTCGTGACTGAGAACAACTTTGTACATTGCGCTTTGTTTCTTCTCTATTACATTTCCAGTGATGTTAATGAAGCCGAATTTCAAAAATTCTTCAAAATATTTATGTTTTGTTTCAAATTACTAAGGTTTAGTATACCAGTTGGCGACCCCCTAGAAAGACCTTCGCGACCCCCAGGGGGGTCGCGACCCCCAGGTTGGGAACCCGTGGCATAAGAAATAGAGAGCATTCCGTATTTGCTAATTAAAGGCTTACATTTATTTAGGATAGAAATGAATTTTGACTGAAATAAGGTCTATAAGCTTTATTTACTTCATCAAATCCGACTATCAGTTCTCCATGACTATTTTCGTGTCACATAAGCGATCATGCTGCAGGATCAAAGCTATAAAGCTATTGGAAAGTGTAGAGTGTATATATATATATATATATATATATATATATATATATATATATATATATATATATAGCGGTCTGATTTTATAGGGCGCTAGCATCACGATCAGAGAACACGGGGAAAACTATCGGTAAGACGCTATCTTCTAGTCGAGGGCAACAAAATTAAGCTATTCGTCGAAAAAGTCTTCTCTACCACCCCCCCCCCCCCATATTCCCCCCTCTCCTCGATATTTTGCGAAGTTGTAGCCCAGTGCCCATTGATGCCAGAAAAACGTGTCATAACTTGGAAAAATAGTAAAAGCGGTCGAGGCTGACTAGTCATAATCGTTGTAATTTGTGTGAATATAAACCGGGAGTGATCTCCCCTAAACATTCTCGAATATTCTTATACGAGAAAAATGGCCTGTTGAGGAAGGATATAACGGGCGCTAGGTTGATAGTGCTGTCTCTTTTCTCTAAACCAAAACCAAAGCCTCCAGCTTAACCTCAAATTGAATCGGAAACGACAAATTACTTTGAAAACGGATTTTTATCAAGAATCGTCATTTTAATCGGATTTAAGCTTGATCTACACTTAGTTACCGCGCATTGATACTAAATACAGTCGTAGCCACACCCCTAAGCCATGCACCTAATCTCAATCATGACAAAAGTCGCATTTAGAGTTTCTTTCAGGCGACTCTACTTGGGGATAGGGGGCTCCGCCCCGCCCCCCCCTCCCGCACCCCCACCCCACACCCCGAAAATTTTCAAGTACCCCTCCCCCTCCCTCTCCGGGGAGGAAAAAGTCTGAAAGAAACACTGGTCGCATTTGTAGATCATACAAACTAACGGTAGAAACTGTGCATGCATAACACTTTTTAGATTAGAAAATTTAAAGTTCCCCTCTCCTCGGAGGAAAAAGTCTGAAAGAAAAACTGGTGTCGCGCTTAGCCACTACCCGAAGAAACTCTAAATGCAAAACACTTTTAAGTTTATACACATTAATTATGCCGTAATGTCAGTCTTTTTTATTATAGAGTATCGATGATGAAATTTCTTTTGAGTTGGGGGGGGGGGGGGGCTGAGACGTTCTTTCGCGAGGGTGGTTCTTCGCCCCTACCCGAAGAATTGTATGAATGAAACTCTTCAGGCAAATCACTTAGATTAGACATATTGGCTTTTTAATTCAATGTTTACTCGAGAATCAATGACGTCATATTACTGTGTGCACTCTCAGGCTTGATACTATTTTCTACTATATGCTAAATGTGACGTCATATTTCGCTTCCGTTTCACTATGCTTGTTTTAAATTTGCTTGTGTTTTCTCTATAGCGTTCTTGTCAGATACATAGATAGATAGATAGACAGATAGATAGATACACAGACAGCGAAACTATTATTATAGATAACTTGAAATATAGACATGATTATTAATTACTTAAACTTTTTTAAATAGATTAGAATCTCATAGATAAAAGAATTGCGCACCAAGCGAACGCCAAAACAAAATGTGCATAATAGTGCGCTATATTATTAGTACTTTATAAATTTACATGCGTTTTTTTTGAGAAATCGGTAATAGCGTAAATTAGTACTTCCGGTCAACGGAAAATACTCAAAATTTGACAGTAGGTAAAGAATTAGATCTTTTACTTACGTGTGAAATTTCATTTATCTATCTGAAATAGTACTCAAGTTATAGGCTTTTGAAAAATTCAAAGTAGAAATAGTACCACTTCCGGTTATCGGAAATCGCTCAAAAGTTGATCAGGATCTACGATTTTGATAAAATACTTATACATGAAATCTCATCAACCTAGCTGTAACGGTACTCAAGTTATCGTGTTTACACACAGACAGACACACAGACACACAGACAAGATTGCAAAATTATGTCTTTCCGTATCAATGAGGTGTAAAACGTCGAGATTTGTAAAAATCTGGATTTTTTTTTTTGCACGATTATAAGACGTTCTCTATACTTCGTATATACTAGAAAGTAAAAAAGAGGCGAGTTTTGAAAAATATTTTAGGTTACTTAGGGTCCGTGTACATCTGGTTGTTTTTTTTTCGAATGAACCTCGATAAAAGGTTTAAACTGTCGTCTAGACTCTAGATGTCATTAATCTTTGTGTAAGGGCGATCATCATCATATCATAATTTTTCAATAGAGTTAATTCTATCTTGAGGCGAAAAAATTGTCGATATTTAGCAACCCTTTATTAAGCAAGTATTTTAATAAACATTAAAGTATTTAACCCAATAAATTTCTAGAAATTAACTGTAGCCATTATTGTAAAACAATTTTTGAGTTATATATTCAAAGAAGCCTTAGCAGTTCCAATAATTACCTTGCGGGAAATAAAGGAATATTTTTAAAAAATTAATTAAATAATTACGTATTCGAATTGTCAGGCTTAACTTAAATTAAAATTTGACGTCTTGTATGAATTTTAGAAAAAAAAACATATTTTTAATAAAATGTATATCAGAAAACATAAGACCTACTACATTACTATTTTAAATTTGTACCACTTGTCATAGGCAGATGATAAAGACTGTAATATGGAAGCGAACAGGCAGGCATTGCAAATTCACTGATGATGTTAATTACAAGTCAGATGTAGTTTAAAACGGGATCCAAACAAAAGGCCGACATGGACAAAAGGCCGACACGGACAAAAGGCCGACATGGACAAAAGGCCGACAAGACAAAAGGCCGACAAGACAAAAGGCCGTCTGAAAAAAGGCAGACATCCAAAAGGCCGACAAGACAAAAGGCCGACAAGACAAAAGGCCGACAAGACAAAAGGCCGACATCCAAAAGGCCGACAAGACAAAAGGTTGACAAGTTTTATAAATAACAAAACTACAATTACAGCCATATTTAATATATAACATATGTAATCACATACGACTTTTTAAGTTTCTAATCAATATTCTTAGGTACATACAATGGGATAAAAAAAACACACGATGTAACCAATTATTTTTTGCTGATATATTAGTCCATATATAAGGAAATCAAAGGGGTAAATTTACACATGTAGTCTAGTCAAGGCACTTGTTCTGCTTCATTTGGTTTCTTTGATTTCATGCGAAATATGGTGGTAATGCCACCTGTCTGTTTATTTTTTTGTACACTCCCATTATCTCCAGTCGCATGGACCCCATGGTTCACCTTATAAGTATCACAACATGCATTGTCTCTTGGCGTTCCACCTTGTTGCATGTGGGCGATGATGTCGGCGGCTTTTGACTTGGTTCTTTGATGATTATCACACCTCGGTTACATAGAAGGAGCTATGAAAGACAGCAGTGACAGCATTTCGCAATATCTAGGTGTTGATCCTTTGTATTTAAGACACATCCGTAATCTCCAGTCGCTTGACCCGATGGTTCACCTTATAAGGATAGCAACTAGCACCGTCTCTTCTCTTGAAAGTTTCACCTTTTTTCATGCCTTATTTTGATGATTGTCAGTATAGGAGCTATGCAGTAACACAACTTTTGCGATATTAGTATTTTTTATGCTTGTCGGCCTTATTTTTTGTCGGCCTTATGGTTTGTCGGCCTTATGGTCTGTCGGCCTTATGTCTGTCTGCCTTATGGCTGTCGGCCTTATGTCCTGTCGGCCTTTTGTCCATGTCGGCCTTTTGTCCGTGTCGGCCTTATGTCTTGTCGGCCTTTTGAATGTCGGCCTTTTGTCCTACACCATTTTAAAACACATAAATAAATAAAAATAAAATATAAATATAATCAATGAAAATGAGAGCATAATCGTATGTCCAAAAATTGATCATACATTTATTATTTACTTAATCGGTTCAAGTCTGTTAGACTAGATCTATAAATTAACGGTCCAGATGAATTATAGTTTATCTATTTCTGTAACATTGAAATAAGTATAGTGTATTAAATTCTACGCCCTGTCACCTTGGATTTACCTAACTTGGTGAAAGGATAATTTTAGTATTGGTTTCATTATTTTACAGCAATATGCCTAGTAAACTATAAGTTAGTCGACTATGCCTGTTGTAAGTTAAAATTAAATAAACCGGGAGTGATCTCCCCTAAACTTTCTCGAATATTCTTATATAAAATAACAGGGGATGGGAACTCGGGCTATAGACATGATTTTTAATCCATTTTAAATACTTAAAGTTTTAAAAATAGAATAAAATCTAGTAGACAAATTAAAAGCACACTAAGTGGACGCCAAATAAAAAAGTACATAATAGTGCGCAATATTATTAGTACTTTAAAAATTTACATTAGTTTTTTGAGAAATCAGAAGTAGCGTAAATTACTACTTCCGGTCAACAGAAATTACTCAACATTTGATAGAAGGTAGAGAATTAGATCTTTTACTTACATGTGAAATTTCATTTATCTATCTGAAATAGTACTCAAGTTATAGGCTTTTGAAAAATTCAAAGTAGGAAAAGTACCACTTCCGGTTATCGGAAATCGCTCAAAAGTTGATACGGATCTACGATTTTGATAAAATACTTATATATGAAATTTCATCAATCTAGCTGTAACGGTACTCAAGTTATCTTGTTTACACACGGACACACACACACACACAGACAGACAGACAGACACACAGACATACGGACAAGATAGCAAAATTATGTTTTTCCGTATCAGTGAGGTGTAAAAATCTCGATTTTTTTTTGCACGATTACAAGACTTTCTCTATACTTCGTATATACGAGAAAGTAAAAAGTGATAGTTATTTTAAAATCGACTAAAACATTATAATTTTTTATTTTTTATTATGAATCTACCATTTAAAATATAGATGTTTATAATTATTTTAAGATGCCAAGAAGTAAATTAGCATAGCAATAAATACTTTAAAAAGAACACCTCCTATTAATTTAATTTTTTTTGTAGGTATTAAAGGATTGGTCAGAATTTCATAAATTCAGCTGTTTAATAAAGGTGGCGTGAGATTTTTGTGTGTATCAGACTCTAAAATTGCTCAGTGCGACCAGGTTCCAATTTTGTAAAGATCTTTTCACCTGTGCCTGCAAAATCAAAATCAGAATTTATTTTATCTTTTATGTCAATGCATTTATAAACGATGGTTAAAATTATTGGCCTGAATTTTGAAAACAAAATATTTGTAGGAGAATTTCGAAAAAGTAACTGTCTCTTTAATGGCATTGAGTTAAAATTTTTAAACCATTTACCAACCGCTTGATATAGAATTCGGAAGGCTCTCATTTATAACATTCAGATCTTTGGTAACGTCATTTGCAGCTTTTTTTGATATTGTTGTTGATGATAAAGTTGTCTTATTTACTTCATTGGTCAGAAATTTGGCCTCCTCATCCTTTGGTAATGTTGTTATCGTTTTATTTGTTGTTGCTGCCGAAATTATTGAAACCTCAGCAGTACCTGACGAGATCGAAACTTTATTTTGATTTGAGGGGGATGTAGTTGTAATTTTAGTTCTTTTCGACGGGCTGACCGCTTGAATGGGGAATTGGGGCGTAGCTGAAGTTGCGATTGTCATTAAATTTGTTGTGGCTGGTATTGAGACAACCGCTGTTGTATCTGTAACCTCAGTTGTTGTAGCTGTAACCTCAGTTCTTGTAGCTATTGATTGCGTAGTCACGTCAGTAGCTCTTTTCGTTGCATTCATTGGGGTTGTTAGTTTATTTGCTGTTTTTCTTTCCTCGGTAGTGGCTACTTCAGTTGTTGTAACTAACGAAGCAGTGTTGAACACATCTGCTGTCATTGAACGTGCTATTTGTGATTGTGTTGCAACTGTAAAAGTTAAATGCGGATTCTCAAAGAAATGACAGTTACGGGGGGGGGGGGGGGGGGGGGTTGGGGTTATGGTTAGGGATAGAGTTAGGTTTAGGGTTAGCGTAAGGGCTGTGGTTATCGTTAACATTACCGTTACCGTTAACGTTTCCGTCACCGTCACAGACAAAGTTACCGTTACAGTTACCGTTACCGTTTCGATGATGGTTATGGTTAATGTTATTTGTATGTAATCCTACTAAATATTATAACATAAATGTAAGCCACTTTAATAACTTAAAGTACATTATTTTAACTTCTAATAGTTTGAATTTAAAAAAACAATAGATTTTATTATTAAATTAATCAGAGGAACCTTATGAGCTTTTATAAGTGACGATTTACAGAAGCCAAGAAATATTTCTATTTAATGATTCAAGAGATAGGAGGCAGTCCCCTGCCCCTATCGCCTGTCACTTTTTTAAATGCTCCCAGTCAAAAAACTTCTGAACATAAACACCCTGAAATAAAACACATCGACAACCCCCCTCCACGCGACATAAACCCCTTGGATAATACAAACGCTAAGCGTGTATAAATTCTTTTGCTAAATCCCCATTAGTTGCAATTTTTCCTATCTTGTTGACACACACACAAACACACAATCAAACACAAACACACATACAAGCACAACACACACACACACATACACACAAACATACATCAGAAAACTAAACACTTCTTCGGTTACTAAGTATCGTACAGAAACAGCCCAATAAAATTTCTAAAATCTTGCATGATCTCTCATTTTCAACTTATTTTTTGTTGAATTATATGTGTACACCATTTTCCTAAAATAATAAAGTTGTGTGTTCATGTGAATACCTACGTTTTTGTTTCATTTTGATTACTCTTTATTTTAATGAACTAAGCCTAAATAACAAACGCCAAAGGTCAAAGGTCTTGCTTGTTTTATTTATGCTACCACATGACATATTTATGATTGAACACTAAAATCTTTATTTTTCAAGATGCGCAATATGATTTCTACAAACCGTTTTAGAATATTTATTATTTTTAGTTTAGATGGAGGGGGAGTTAATTAACCAATAGCTTAGCGTGCAGGATTTATTATTTCAATGCAATAATAGTCATTCACGCGTTAACTTACCATTATCGCCAGGATCTGAGGTGCTGCATTCTACTTCAGCATCTTGTATTTTAACGACATTTTCTAAGAGGAAAAAAATTTAATTTAAGACTAATTTAACCACGAATAATTTAATTATTTTTAATATAAAAGTGGGGTGAAGTAAAGTTACCTATTACTCAAAAGTTAATGAATAACATGTTTAATACATAAAAAAGTTGAAATATTTTAGCAAACGTTTATAAAAATGTATTTGGATAGATAGGGCTTAATACATTTTAATTATTTCTTATATACGAGAAAAATGGCCCGTTGAGGAAGGGTACAATGGGCGCTAGGTTGATAGTGCTGTCTATTTTCTCGGTACTTTAATTTATACAAAATATAGTCAAAGGCATATCCCTAAACCATGCACCTAATCTCATTCATAACAAAAGTCGCATTTAGAGTTTCTTTCAGGCAACTCTACTTGGGAGGAGGGGGCTTCGCCCCCCCCCCCCCCCACACACACTCCAAAACATGTCTACCGTCCCATTCAACGAAATATAATTATATACTTTTTCCAGTGTCCGCCCCCTCCCAGAAAATTCTACCCCCGCCCCCGAAAATTTCAAGTACCCCCACCCCTCTCCGGGGAGGAAAAAGTCTGAAAGAAACACTGGTCGCATTTGTAGATCATACAAACTAAAGGAAGAATCTGGGCGGGGCTTCGCCCCTACCGGAAGAGATGCTTGAAAAAACTGCACGCTAAACACTTTTTAGATTAGAAAAAGTTCCCTCCTCCGGGGAGGAAAAAGTCTGAAAGAAACACTGGTGTCGCGCTTAGCCACTACCCGAAGAATTGCATTAAAGAAATTGCAAGAAAACCACTTTTTAGATTAGACACATTAATTAAGCGGTAATTTTATTATAGAGTATCGATGAAGAAATTTCTTTTGAGTTGGGGAGGGGGGGCTCAGACGTTCTTAAGCGGGGATGGGGCTTCGCCCCTACCCGAAGAATTGTATGCAAGAAACTCTTCACAGCAAACCATTTAGATTAGACAAAATTGCCTTTTTATTCAATGTTTACTCGAGAATCAATGACGTCATATTACTGTGTGCACTCTCCGGCTTGAGATTATTTTCTACTCTATGCTAAATGTGACGACGACATACTTCGTTTTTCGAATTACTATGCATGTTTTTAATTTGCTTGTGGGTTAGGGTTAGATACATAGATAGACAGACAGCTAAACTATATGTGTCTGAATATATATACATATATATATATATATATATATATATATATATATATATATATATATATATATATATATATATATATATATATATATATATATATATATATATATATATATATATATATATAGCGAGAGAGAGAGAGAGAGAGTGAGAGAAAGACGGATAGATGTTTTTAACATGCTGCAGCTAATATACCTGTTTTAGTATTATCAGCCTTCATCTTGGAAGATTGCTTACATTGCCACTGCAATAATACTATGACGAAAAGAAGTGTCTGGCCTACTAAACCACATGAACATCCAATTATTATCCACACATAAGCATTCTCTGTAAAGTTTTAGAGACGATTAAGCTTCTTACAATTCATCAATAAAATATTTTAATATTTGTTGTTACAACATAAAGTACCTTTTTTGTCTAGGAATAAAAGACAGTTTACACATTGCAGGTTGAGGAAACGGGATCTTACTTGATCAAAATGGAAACCATGACTTCCCATAAACTCGAGATTTTTTTTTTACTTCAAACCAAAATCATGCATTTTAATTTCTATTTAAAACCCTACTATATTGTTTGATTTGGGGTAGCTATCTCATAATTTAAAATGTTTGTGATTATCTTAAATTCCAGCCAGGTAAAATGAAATATGGGAAGAAGAAATCTTAACAGCATTTACCTTTTTTGCAAAGTTCATCTGAAAAGAATACAAAAGTATAGCCAAGGGTGAGTGATAGTGAATCTCTAGATGGAGCAATTACAAAAGGAAATACTGATCCTAAAATTTAATATAACTTAAAAACTAAATTGATTTCAAGAATGGAATGGCGTGATTTATTGGTTATGTGAGTACACAAATTAAGTTATGAAAACGAAGAACGGCCAGGAATCTAACTAACCACTTACAAGTGCCGAAATTTCAGAAACAGATGAACTCGCCTTCGACTTCTCCATTTTATATTTTTTCAAGTGGTAAAAAAATAATTTTACATACTTACTAAAGATTTGTGTCGCCACGTGATCAGCCATGAAAAGAAAATACAAAGGAGTCATTTTTTTCTAATACCCTTTAGTCTGGAAAAAAAAAGATATTTGGATTAGCTAATGCTTTTTAAAAACTTTACACGGTCTTACAGCCTTATAGTATTGTGCATTGTTTTTTAGCGCAATTTCCATACGGACAATTGCGATTATTAACTCGTCATTTCTGGATGGATGTGTGTCCGCAGCCTTTAAGTCGTATCTCCTCCTCAACGAAGCAATATCGAGGACTAGTTCCAAAGCAAATATGTTAAGCAAGTTCCGAGGATGATTGTGGACCAAACAATTCCCGGAATTCCTTCCTGGATTTCCCGGAAAAGCCAAAAAACCTAGAACAAATACAGTTTTTGGTCCATATCTCGGCAACCAGACCACTTAGCGACTTGAAACATTTACCAATCGATTCCTGCCATAATTTAGAACAATATTGCCGAAGAATGTTTTCAAAAATATCCTTTCGTTCGGTCACCAAAAATTAATTAAGAACATTTAAACTGAGCATATTGTAGGCCTAGGATGATATTTACTACTTTTTTAAACTGAGCATCATGTAGGCCAACTTGTTAAAATAAAACTATTTCCGTTGATATAGGTTAATATAGTTGTTCTTTTTTTTTAGCGCAAAAAAATATCCTTTCGTTCGGTCACAAAAAATTAAAAATTGTTATGGATAACATAAGGAAATTGCGCTTAAATTGTCACTAGACTTTTTATTAACTTGTTTTTATTATCAGCATCTGCGATGCCTATTGATTTTTTTTTTTGCATTCTTTTTATAAAATACGTACAAATATTTCATAATTCTTCTCATTTATTGGCGATTATGTGAGAATAAATGTGTGTGTATTCTATTCACTGATATACGTTGTAGATGGATGGAGCATAGTTGGTTTTTTTGTATGGGGGGGGGGGGGGGGTAGGGGTGATTCATATAAGTTAAGAGCTAATTATTCTGCGTCGTTTAATTTAGTGAATAATGTCAGCTTAGTATGAGACATTGGAGCTGGGACGTAGGCAGGGATAGTCGGGGGTCGTGTAGGACTGGGTATAACTTATTAGGTTATAAACATGTACAAAGGACAGTGACTTGCGTGTCTATTAAGCAGCATATACCCGGCATGGTTCGGGTTTAGGAAATATATTACTTGAACGTGTACGTAAGCATAAGCTTAAATAACATAAACATAAACATATAAAAAAAACATTTAAAAAATTATGAATTAAACATTAACTTCAAAAATATAAACAACATACAACTAAACCCTCCCCCCTTCCCGTATGCAGGATGTTACATTTTCTTTGATTTTTTATTTTATTTCACATGTCGTTAATTTAAATGTTACGTTTTAGAAAATGAAACATTTTTATAAAACCATCCAAATTTTTTTTTTAAGATTTAAAAAAAATAATGAATAATAAACGCTTTAAGAATATTACACTATGTCGATCAAATAGATTTTTTCTAATATATCCATATATATTCATATATATTCATATATATATATTCATATATATATTCATATATATATATATATATATATATATATATATATATATATATATATATATATATATATATATATATATATATATATATATATATATAATACTAGCGTACCCGACCCCGCGCGTTGCCGCGAGAACAGAAAAAAGTCCGACGACTATATAAGGGTTTCATCCATGCGTTACCAATCCTATATTCTTAAACTTGTGACCTTGTTTTCTAAAAGTGAGTTATTTAAATGTAAACAATGCCTGCGTTTGGCTGATAAATATCGGGACACAGGTTTACCTACAATACCGTTTGAAAATCGTGAGTTTACATTAATAACTCACCGAAATAATGTGGTAGAACACACTTCGGTGACCGCCCTTGTGTCAGGGACGTAGGGTGGCGCTCTCAGGAGCCCCCCCCCCCACACACACACCGATTACACAACCGCGTACGGCCCCTGGCTCCCTAAAACTAACAGGCGCCATCGTGCCAAACAGCATCCTGTTAACAATGATGCAGATTGCGTCATTCGCTAAAGTGACACAAATGAACAGAAGTTTTTTTGACACGTAAATGAGGTAGAAAACACTACGGTGACAGCCCATGTGTCAGGGACGTAGAGTGGCGCTCTCAGGAACCCCCGTATATAGAGAAAAATCGCACCATCCCGTGGCGCCGCCCTTGCGAAATTATTTTTTTTTACAGAACACTTGCCCAGATTGTCCTCATCAACTCCCCCAAAGTCTCATGGCTATCGGATGAACGGCATCAAACCAAAATCGACTTTTATTTTTATATACCGTACATATAGAAAAATCGCACCCTCCTGTGGCGCCGCCCTTGCAAAATTAAAAATGATTTTTTTACAAAACCCTTCCCCGAATTGCTCTAATCAACTCCCCAAAGTTTGACGGCGATTGAATGAACAGTGTGAATCTGCAATCGACTCTTATTTTTTGTATACCGTATATTGAGAAAAAACAAATCGCGCCCTGCAGGGCGCCACCCCTGCGAATTTGAAATTTTTTTTTCGCATAAACCTCCCCAGGAATATTCTCAACAACTTCCCAAAGTTTCACGGCGATGTGATAAGAGGTGTGGTAATGCATAAAAGACACACACACACTGACACACAGACACACATACATTGCTTTTTACATATATATATATATATATATATATATATATATATATATATATATTTATATATATATAATATATTAACATGTATGTATATATACATATCTAATGTAACATTCCTACCTTCTACCTAAACCCTTCGATAGAGGTTTGGGCAGATAAATAGAGTAAGGATCAATAAGCAATAAAAACTTGTTGTGACTATTAATATCCTTTAATGCTTCGTTAAAGCTACAACGCATAGAACAACATTTCAAAAAATTAACAGCTTATTCAATCTAATACATAAAAGAAAAATGTTCGTATAACATACCTAATAAAAATTACAACAGTTTCACAGCTTAATTTCGGAACAGTTCAAGATATTAGTGAGTAATGACAAGGTTGCCTAGAATCTATATTAAAACGTTATATCATTAAAGGAATACCCAATAAATTGTGTGCAACGCAGTAATGTAATCTTTTAAAATAGATCTCTTTCTCGTATACACACAACCGCACACACACAAAGCGCAACACACGGGGTGGATCAAAGCATACACTACATCGTTACACACTTTAACGCATACCATTTTACACAGCACGACTACATGAACAACACCTTAAGCAAACCTCACACAACACCGGTCCAAACGTCACATTAAGATCTCTAAACTAATCTTTATATATATATATATATATATATATATATATATATATATATATATATATATATATATATATATATATATATATACATATATATATATATATATACATATATATATATATATATATATATATATATATATATGTATATATATATATATATATATATACATACATACATATATATATATATATATATATATATATATATATATATATATATATATATATATATATATATATATATGTATATATATATATATATATATATATATATATATATATATATATATATATATATATATAAATAACTAGTGTAGTTACAAAAACAATGTAATAGTGTCTATCAATACGGACAAGATCAAAGTCATAACTAAACTGAATTATTTATAGTTATTATGAAACTGTTGTGACGTACCTTGTGTTACTAAAATAGAATTTGACTTGACAACGTAAAGACAAACGGACAATCTATATATATAAAGCAAAGTGGTCAAGTGCCCGATAGGGCAATTCCCGGCGCCGCAGGCGCGTCAAATTTGGCAAGATGGTGCCTTCGGGCGATAGAACACGAAGGCCGGTGACGGTTGGGAGAAAAGTCTACGGAGAGGGGGTCAAAAGTGACCTCGACTGACCGGCGCCTTATATGGGCTATATTACGAAAAAAAATTTCCTCCGACGACCCCCCTTGAAATTTTGTGAGGTGGTAGGAGAAGGCCTCGGGGTGTCACAAAAAACTCGCCACGTCCGGGAAAATTCGTTAAATCAGTCAAAACTGACCAGTCGTATTTCCCTATATAATCTTTGTATTTTATGGGAAAAACAGAGGGTCATTTCAAAACGGATTTTAGGGCACTTACCCTCTTAACATCTGGCTAATTTTTTGCATGCTCTTAGGTAAATGGCTTGACCTTTAGGGAAAATTGTCGGTTTCATTCAAAGCCCTCGATAAGGGCTAAAAAATGACCGCGAGTGAAATTTTCTTTATATGAGCTCTATTACGAAAAAAAATTTCCTCCGACGACCCCCCTTGAAATTTTGTGAAGTGGTAGGAGAACGCCTGGGGATGTCACAAAAAACTCGCCATGTCCGGGAAAATTCGTTAAATGGGTCAAAACTGACCAGTCGTATTTCCCTATATAATCTTTGTATTTTATTGGAAAAACAGAGGGTCATTTCAAAACGGATTTTAGGGCACTTTCCCTCTTAACATCTGGCTACTTTTTTGCATGCTCTTAGGTAAATGGCTTGACCTTTAGGAGAACTGTCGGTTTCACTCAAAGCCCTCGACGAGGGCTAAAAAGTGACCGCGAGTAAAATTCTCTTTATATGAGCTCTATTACGAAAAAAAATTTCCTCCGACGACCCCCCTTGAAATTTTGTGAGGTGGTAGGAGAACGCCTTGGGTTGTCACAAAAAACTCGCCATGTCCGGGAAAATCCGTTAAATGGGTCAAAACTGACCAGTCTTATTTCCCTATATAATCTCTGTATTTTATGGGAAAAACAGAGGGTGGTTTCAAAACGGATTTGAGGGCACTTACCATCTTTACATCTGGCTAATTTTTTGCATGCTCTTAGGTAAATGGCTTGACCTTTAGGAGAACTGTCGGTTTCACTCAAAGCCCTCGACGAGGGCTAAAAAGTGACCGCGAGTAAAATTCTCTTCATATGAGCTCATTTACGAAAAAAATTTTCCTCCGACGACCCCCCCTTGAAATTTTGTGAGGTGGTAGGAGAACGCCTTGGGGTGTCACAAAAAACTCGCCATGTCCGGGAAAATTCGTTAAATGGATCAAAACTGACCAGTCTTATTTCCCTATATAATCTCTGTATTTTATGGGAAAAACAGAGGGTGGTTTCAAAACGGATTTGAGGGCACTTACCATCTTTACATCTGGCTAATTTTTTGCATGCTCTTAGGTAAATGGCTTGCCCTTTAGGGAAAACTGTCGGTTTTACTCAAAGCCCTCGACGAGGGCTAAAAAGTGACCGCGAGTGAAATTTTCTTTATATGAGCTCTATTACGAAAAAAAATTTCCTCCGACGACCCCCCTTGAAATTTTGTGAGGTTGTAGGAGAACGGCTCGGGGTGTCACAAAAAACTCGCCATGTCCGGGAAAATTCGTTAAATGGGTCAAAACTGTCCAGTCGTATTTCCCTATATAATCTTTGTATTTTATGGGAAAAACAGAGGGTCATTTCAAAACGGATTTGAGGGCACTTACAGTCTTTACATCTGGCTAATTTTTTGCATGCTCTTAGGTAAATGGCTTGACCTTTAGGGAAAACTGTCGGTTTCACTCAAAGCCCTCGACGAGGGCTAAAAAGTGACCGCGAGTGAAATTCTCTTAATATGAGCTTTTTTACGAAAAAATTTTCCTCCGACGACCTCCCTTGAAATTTTGTGCGGTGGTAGGAGAACCCCTTGGGGTGTCACAAAAAACTCGCCATGTCCGGGAAAATTCGTTAAATGGGTCAAAACTGACCAGTCGTATTTCCCTATATAATCTTTGTATTTTATGGGAAAAACAGAGGGTCATTTCAAAACGGATTTTAGGACACTTACCCACTATATATCTGGCTCTTTTTTTTGCATGCTCTTAGGTAAATGGCTTGACCTTTAGGGATAGCTGTCGGTTTCACTCAAAGCCCTCGACGAGGGCTAAAAAGTGACCGCGAGTGAAATTCTCTTTATATGAGCTCTATTAAGAACAAAAATTTCCTCCGACGACCCCCCTTGAAATTTTGTGAGGTGGTAGGAGAACGCCTTGGGGTGTCACAAAAAACTCGCCATGTCCGGGAAAATTCGTTAAATGGGTCAAAACTGTCCAGTCGTATTTCCCTATATAATCTGTATTTTATTGGAAAAACAGAGGGTGATTTCAAAACCGATTTGAGGGCACTTACCGTCTTTACATCTGGCTAATTTTTTGCATGCTCTTAGGTAAATGGCTTGACCTTTAGAGAAATCTGTCGGTTTCACTCAAAGCCCTCGACGAGGGCTAAAAAGTGAACGCGAGTGAAATTCTCATTATACGAGATTTGGTCATTTGGTCTTTGAACAGGGGAAGTAACTTTGTATTGTAATAGTTTTTAAATATTTTGTATTCTCTTTTCAAGAAAAAAACAAAAATCATATAGTATAGCATTGTTTTAAATTAATATTTTGTTCTAAATTAAGTTTTGCATTGTACTGAAATTGTAAAAATTAATTGTGAAAGTAATTTATTATAATATTTTATTGATACTATTGAGAAATCCCTTGCAGTTCTAATAACCGTGCGAGTAATAAGTTTGCGAATATTCCATCAATATCTGGGTAGCATAAAATTACTCCACTGTATAAATTTAGGCCCTAAGCATTTAAGATAGCAGTCAATCACATATTAATTAATTATTCTATTCCTCAATTTTTTTTGAAAACCTAAGCGAAGCTAGGCAGTATGCCTAGTATAAAAATAAGGCCTGCCGAACAAGAGATGCATACGATTATTATTCAAGGGTGCTGGCCATGCTTACTCTGAAGAGAAATTATGAAGAGGTCCCACTGACAAGTTTCATATTCGATGAGGACGTTTTGTCTCTACGGAAACCGTATTGAAACGGGTCCTTTTGTCGGGAGCTAAAATGACTTGGTCCATTTGTCGCTGGCCCTTTGGACGGATTCGATGTGACAGGGCTCTTATTTGGTTCCATTTTGTTGGGTTCGTTTTGACGGGGTCGTTTGGTCACAGGCCGTTTTGACGCCGCATGGTGCGATATATTTTGGACCTCATTTTAATTGCAGTAGCACAACCAATTTGAAGTGAAATTTATTTCTACTGAAACCAAGGCGATGCATCAGGTTGCTAGACAGTAAATAAAGAAAATACAATTAAAGTAAAAAAGGTTTCTTTTTCTTAACATTGAAGACACAGAAAGAAGAAGTGCTGTAATTTATCGTCAATCGTCGCTTTGACTTACTTCTAACTAGCTGTCTGTGGTGTGTGTCTATAACATATTTCAAAGCAAAATTCAAAGCCTCGTAAGTTTGCGTCTTTTAATTTAAACAACCAAATCAAAAATAAAATAAATATCTAGAAGCATTAAGCTATGATAGTAGGTGAATGAGGAAAATTCAAATAAATTTTTTTTTTCAACATTGTTTGGTTATTAATTTTTAAGTATAAACTGCATTTGTAAAGAACGAATACCACAATGTTAAGTAAATTTTCTTAAAGTAGCTTTTAAAAACATTTTATGATCCCATCAATTATTTTAATCCTTTTTCGATTAATTGTATAGATAAAACATAATTTTGCTGACAGTAACCTCAGGGGTGTGAAAGTTGAATACACATTTTAAGTCGGATGTTTTTGGGTTTTTTATAGAACTAAATTGCAACCTTTTTAGTGTTAGCTTATTTTAATTTTGATGAAATACTTAAGAAATTAATTTGCAAAAAAATCACCAAAATCCGGATACTTGTTCATCTTTGTATGAGAAAAAAATAAATTTTTAAAAAGTAACTTTTATGTGTTTAAAATACAATTTTTATGTATCCATCAATAAAAAGTAATCATTTCTTTCCAGTCTACTGAAAATCTTTATCCGTCATCATTTAGCATCATGGAAAAGCTGGATTTCTTATGTATATGTTAATCGCATTTTCCCTGACATAGAAAACACCAAAGGCTTTTCGTCGGCTTTACATTTTACTCTGAAATAGTATTTATGTGACCTACTTTTCATTATTTTTT